CTCACCTGGGGGAAGCCAGTGTCAACTAATATCTTACTATGGGAATATAAAACGGCCTGAATATTTTAATGTGCAGTTAAAACATATAACTAATTATTAAAGCATAAAATAAAGCTCTCATTATTGTCATTGAAAAAAAATATGATTTGATTAAAGAAATGTAATTGTTTGAATATATGCTTCTTATATTTTTATGTACTAATTAATGATTTTGAAAGGATAGACAGATAGATAGAACTATGCCTCAATTTAATATTGCTAGATAAGCTTTCCAAATGATTCAATATTTATGGATAACCTTCTCAATAGACTTTTCAACATGTTAAAATATCAAAACATAAACCACATATACCAAATATATATTAATATATAAATAAATATCAACATATACATGTTTTTGCCCCCCCCCCCCCAACCCCACAATATTAAATGGTTTTAAAAATGTATCCAAAAATATTAAAACAAGTCAGATTTTTCCCGGTAACCCCCAGTTAGTATATGGTTAGCTGAAATTAGCAAACACAAGAATATATCTTTATTTTAATATAATGAATATCATTCTAAAATATCACACTAAGCAGCATAGCCACTACACCCCAGCATACTGGGGATATTGTAATAGTCATAGAGTCATTTTTGACTGATTTTTGTCAAACTGTTTAGGAGCAGTTTAAAGGAGCACTATAGTCTACATATAAAAGCAAGAAAGACAGATCTCCTAGCCTTCTTTCTTGCTTTTATATTAACTTCCCCTTATTAAAAATCATTTTAGAGTCCTTATTATAGATCAAACTTATCTCCGTTCTAGCGCTGAGCCCCTCGGCAGGCCGCGCCCCCTTTTTCGCCAAAATGACGCAGTAGCAGGGTTCAATCAGACACTTCTCTTAGAGAAGCGTCATAGCGAGCTGGTGGGCATGCGTGGCTTCGCGCTGCACCAATCGCATTCTTCACAGAGCGGCATTGAATGCCGCTCTATGAATGAACTCAGCGCTCTACCGATGGATGGATGGATGGATGGAGAGGGATGGATAGATGAATGGATGGATGGATGGATAGAGAAGGATGGATGGATGGATAGTTGGATGGATAGAGAGGGATGATAGATGGATAGATAGAGAGGGATGGATAGATGGATGGATAGAGAGGGATGGATAGATGGATGGATGGAGAGGGATGGATGGATAGTTGGATGGATAGAGAGGGATGGATAGATGGATGGATAGAGAGGGATGGATAGATGGATGGATGGATAGAGAGGGATGGTAGGATGAATGGATGGAGAGGGATGGATGGATGGAGAGGGGTGGTAGGATGGATGTGTGACAAACTACCTTTTGTCACTAGCTGTTTATGTGACCCACTGTCCTTTGCCCCTGGGATTTGGAGGAGCCTGATTCCCAGCCTCCTACCTTATGACTTTGTCCCCGGTGAGATTGGGCATTTTAAACACAGTATTCGGGCATAATGGATTTTTATAATGTTGTTTATGGCCCTTTAATCACTTTGAAGCAGTGTTGCAACTTTAAATTGGCACTTCGGACACAGCCGAAGTGCCGAAGTAGTCGAAGTGGCCGCCATTTGACAAACGAACACGTGGCGGCAGCCATTTTAACTCATTCGAACGCGGTCAGCGGTGTGTGCAGCTAAATCTATGGAACTGTTTTTGGATACCCAATTGCACGAACACCGCTGACCCATACCTTCTCCGCCACTTCGACACTGTGGCTGGAGACTAAGTCCCGTTTGAAGGTTCGATTTTCTCAGTGTAAATTAGAACGACCGCACAGCCCAAATCCATGGAACTATTTTGGGCATGAAAATATGCTTGCGGTTGGTCACACAGGACTTCCAGCTAGCTTTTGAAATACTGCGTGGAATTGTCTGATTTTTGGTTATGTTTATATTTAAAGTATGCTGATTCTGAATATGTATGTTTTATGTGAATATGATGCATATTTTTAAAGTTACAGTACATGTGTAAAAACTGTATTTCTCTGCCTGTGATAATTACATTAACCCATTGTGTAAGGTAATTGTATCACAGGCAGAGGGGAGGATTTTGTGCGGGAGTGTCTGTGTATATTGTACGTATTGATTGGTTGCTCTGAAAAACCCTGTGGGCAGTACTATGTGTATAAAATGTAAATAAAAGAGGCTGTATGTGCCAGTCCAGGCAGTTCTACTTCACCCTCAATCTGAGTCCTGTCTCTTATTGGGGGAAGCTGCTACAAGGGATTGCTATGCTCTGCATATTTCCTTGCTATAATCATTGAGCTCTTGTAAGAGCTTGTTCCTGTCTTGCTCTCTGAAGGAGTCCACAGTGGTTATGGTGTTGGCCGGAGTGCTTGGAGCCCTCAGGAAGCGCTAGGAGCATCCTTCAACGTAGGTACCCAGTCGGGGTGCCAGGTGATCCGTTACAGGATGGATGGATAAGGATGGATGAATAGATAGGGATGGTAGGATGGATGGATAGAGAGGGATGGATGGATAGAGAGGGATGGATGCATGGATGGAGAGGGGCCGATGGATGGATAGAGAGGGATGGATGGATAGAGAGGGATATAGATGGATAGATAGAGAGGGATGGATGGATGGAGAGGGATGGATGGATGGAGGGGGATAGATAGTTGGATGGATAGAGAGGGATGGATGAATGGATAGAGAAGGATGGATGAATAGAGAGGGATGGATTTATGGACAGAGAGGAATTTATGGATAGAGAGGGATGGATGGATGGATAGATGGAGAGGGATGGATGGATGGAGGGATAGAGAGGGATGGAAGGATAGAGAGGGATGGAAGGATAGAGAGGGTTGGATAGATGGATGTATAGAAAGGCATGGATGGATGGTTAGAGAGGGTAGATGGATATCCATCCATCCATCTTTCTCACTCATTCTCTCTCTCACTCTCTCACACTCACTCAGAGAGAGTGAGTGAGTGAGAAAGTGTGTGTGAGAGAGTGAGTGAGAGTAATCTCACTCACACTCACAATAACTCACTCACATGCACTCACTCACTCGCATTCACTCACTCACTTACTCACACTCACTCACTCTCTCAATCTCTCTCTCACTCTCACACTAACTCACTCACACACTAACTCACTCTCTCAGTCTCTCTTACTCACTCTCTCAATCTCACACTAACTCACTCACACTCACTCTCAATCTCTCTCTCACTCTCACACTAACTCACTCACACACTAACTCACTATCTCGGTCTCTCTCACTCACTCTCTCAATCTCACACTAACTCACTCACACTCACTCTCAATCTCTCTCACTCTCACACTAACTCACCACACTTACTCTCTCAATCTCTCCCTGCCTACACTAACTTTCTCTCAATCTCTTACTCAATCTCACACTAACTCACTCACACAGACTAACTCACTCACACACTAACCCAATCACTCACTCTCTCATACTAACTCATTCACTCTCTCACACTAACTCATTCACTCACACTTACTCTCACTCTCACACTAACTCACTCACTCTTTATAAAGTTTTTTCTGACCGCAAGCTTAGTCTGCCCTGAGCCTTCGTCGGTTGAAGATGAAATATTTTTTTTCGGCTAGATTTTTCTTTTGGCACTTTTTTTTATAATAAACATAATTTTTTATAATTAATAGTTCAATGTATCTTGGATTTTTACTAGACTCTTTTGTGGGCTGAAAAAAGAAGATTAAAGAAACAAAAAAGAAGAAATCTAGTGGAAAGTATTCATTTATTTTTCAGGTATTTAGTTTATTGCCCCAGACTATTATTTGAGTAAACTATTAGTTGCTTATTGGGCTGGTGACTAGGGGCTTGGGGACCTCTAGTCACTGGAAGGGGGTGGGGTTAAGGTCTATGAGACCCCAAGCTACTGGAGGGAGGGAATTATTTTTACAATTAGCCCCCACCCACCACCAATGGGTGGAAGCTGGTGGGGGACAATAGTTCCCCCTATTAATGTCCCCTCCAGTTAAAGTTCAATATTATGTGAGTGTGCCTATTTTTACTCATAGTGTATTTCATTTTCTCATACTGTTACAGTGTTTTGTGTTATTTTCCTTCTTTTCAAGTATATATTGGACTAGACAGCCCAAATGATTCTTATCTGCCGTCACATTCTATGTTTCTATTAGTAAGTACAAATTTTCTTTTTGTATTGGAGCACTCCATTAATTAGCTCTCCCCTTGGTGGGTTAGGCTGCCGCTGGAGAGAGGGTGTAACAAGCTCCTCTCTCTGAACTGTAGACTGCCGCTGGGGAGAGGGGGTAACCTGCTCCTCTCCCTGACACTCTCTTTGCTGGTGGAGAGGGGGACCAACTGTCTCCCCTTTCAATATTTTGTCCTGCGGCTGGGGTGCGAGACAGACGGTCTCTGCTTCCTGGGGTACATAGTGCCGCTGGGGAGGAAGGACGACACCTTTGGCTCCCTGGGATACACACTGCCGCTGGGGAGGGGGGGGTAACAAGCCCCTCTCCCATACATACTTTCAGCCGCTGGGGAGAGGGGATAACAAGCTCCTCTCCCTGACACTCTCTCTGCTGTTGGAGGGGGAGACCGACTGTCTCCCCTTTCAATAATTTGTCCTGTTGCTGGGGAGAGGTGATAACCGGTTCCTCTCCCTGGAACACTCTCTGCTGTTGGAGAGGGGGACCAACTGTCTCCCCTTTTAATATATTGCCCTGCTGCTGGGGAGCGAGACCGACTGTCTCCGCTTCCTGCAGGACACACTGCCGCTGGGAGGAAGTACAGCACCTTCAGCTCCCTGGGATACATACTGCCGCAGGGGATCTGGGCTCACTGCCCAGCATCCCTGTAGGATCTGTAGAGAGACCTCGGTCCCATCCCCACCTGCCAGCTGGGTGTCTTCCCAGGACAAGTCAATAAGGTCTTCCATCTCTGGGGCTGGTTGGGACATATGTGGTACTGTTATCAGGTCTCCTGATAACAGGCTTGGTTGCTGGGGAGGAGGAACTAAACTCAATGCTTCCGGTGGTATACAGTCAATAAGCCCCATCATGTCAGAGACAGGCGGCGTTATACGTTGGAATAGGCAAACATAATCCTGTTCTAGTTCCCACTCTCGGTTGGCAAGAAAAGATAGATCTGACTGAATAGCATCGATCTCTGTAAGGTCCCAGTTGTCTGCCCGCTCAGCTCGGATGGACCAGAAGCGAGCAATGTCGGTGTCTCCGAACCAGAGACTAGTTTCAATAGTATCCCACAACAAACCAGGGCCATCGTAGTCTTCCCCCTCAATACACTTGTACTCAATCAGCCATGGGTAGAGGTGGTAAACATGCCACCGCAGGGCCCGATAGGAATCATCCAGCCACACCTCAGTCTCAACTAGCGTCTCCAGTTCGCTTACCCATTCCTCTGAGGGCTGGTTTCCCAATAACGGCATCCGCAGCTCTAGTTGTTCTGCTTGGCGCTGGTTAGTGGTCAGGATTTCCTCGCACTGGAAGGGTCGAATTTCGTCGATGTCCTCCTTCCAGAGATCGGTACGAAGAGCCACCCTCCACTCTGTCTCTCTTTCCTCTGGGATAGGATACTCCATACTGCGCATCACATCCTGTAGTCGCTGCTGGAGCCTGGCGTCAAAGTGAGATACTGCACGGCCTTCCATCTCTGAAGTAGTGCTGGTTTTCCCAAATCTTTATGTAGACAGGGACGCTGTATGAACACTAGCGTCGCCTTCAATTTGTAAATCCACAAACTGTGTCTCTGAGCTGCTTTACCTCGCACTAGGACGCCATCCCACCGCTTGCCACCAATGTAACGGATCACCTGGCACCCCGACTGGGTACCTCCGTTAAAGGATGCTCCTAGCGCTTCCTGAGGACTCCAAGCACTGCAGCAGACACCACAACCACCGAACCGGAGAAGCATGTGAATCCTCTCAAGCATATGAATGCTGTAGACAGTTGAATAGGAACCATACGAATAGGTTTACTCTCCTAGCAGTCAAACTGGAACAGCATACAATAAATCCTTCCCCCAATAATGAGACGACACTTCACTTTGAGGGTTAAAACAGGAACTCCCTGTACTGTCACATACAGTCTCTTTTATTCCCAATCCACAAACATAGTACAGCCCACAGGGCGTTACAAAACAACCAATCAATCCATGCAATACACCCAGACACTCCCACACAAAATCCTCCCCTCTGCATGTGATATGATTACTGAACACAATGGATAATCTCATTATCACCGGCAGAGGAATACAGTTTTTACACAATATTTATAATTTCTAAAATATACATGTCACAAACATAAAACATACATTTTCATAATCAATCCATTCAGGGGAACAACATATTAAAAAATGGCACGAATCAGACCAGGGGTTCAAAAGTTAAGGGAAAGTCCTTTGTGACTAAATGAAGCATGGCTTTCTGGCCCAAACCAGTTTCAGAGTCTTCTATCCTGGAGAGTAATTCAATTATCTCCCAGGACAGACACAAGACTCCATTAAGCACATGGTTGCAAAAAGACACAAAACACTTTAAAATACATAAAGTCACCTTTTACACATAAGACACAGACATTTCACATATCCCCAGATAGCTGGGATCTGAGCGCACAAAACTACCGAATAGCGCTCAGATCCTATTCACACAGTTCAATTGCCATGGAGCCAAAGTCTTTAACTACACGAATGCGCTCCATGGCATAGCTATCTGGGTTAACAGATTCACATAAAGTCTGGTCCATAGTCCAAAGGCAAGAGGCGGGCAAGCAGCCCCCTCCAAGGACACGTGGCGAGGCCGGTTTCGCCACACTGATGAAGATAATATATTACTGAGGGACAGTACTAATGTACAAGAGGAGCTAACAGAGAGATTATGCAACTATATTGAATAGTGTGGGTGGCTCTCCTGTGAGAACGAATACGGAACAGTCAGGCATAACACATTTCTTTTATTTCTTATGGGATTCATAATCAACTGTAGATTATAACAGAATGGCACAATAATAAATCAAAACATGGCAACAAAGATAACATTGAAATGACCCCTGTTCAAAAGTCTGCGTACCCTTAGTTCTTAATACTGTATATTACCCCCTTTAGCATCAATGACAGGGTGCGGTCTTTTGTAATAGTTGTCAATGAGGCAAATCTAATTGTTGCGGTTGGTAGCTGCCCATCCGTCTTGGAAAAATGTCTCCAGGTTATCCAAAACCTTTGGTCGTCTTGCATGAACTGCATGTTTAAGATCTTCCCACAGTGGCTTGAAGATGTTAAGGTCAGGAGACTGTGATGGCCACTCCACAACCTTTACCCTTTTCTGCTGTAACCACTGGAGGGTCAAGCTGGCCTTGTGCTTAGGGTCATTGTCATTCTGGAAAGTCCAAGAGCATACCATGTACCTGCCAGTATTTTCTGATAAAATGCTTTATTCATCTTGCCATCATTTTTCACAAGATTCCCCATGCCTTTAGAGCTCACAACCCCCCAAAACATCAGTGAACCACTGGATGGTATTCTTTTTACTACAGCCCTTGTTGTGACCATAAAGCTCTATTTTGGTCTTGTCACTACACTTTGCATATCTTTTTAGATCCTTTTCCATCTTTATATAGTTCTATTAGCTTGTTACATAAGTCTTTTGACAGTTCTTTTCTGTTCCCCGTGGCTCAGTATCTAGCCTGCTCAGTGTATCCACATGGAAGATAACAAAAGCATTGATTATTTATAAACAGACACTAATTGCAATATAAATAAGTCTTGTGGGAAATTAGCCTTTGATTGCCAAACTAATCTTATTGATTTTTTCGATTGGGTAACTAAAATTATAGATCATGGTGGTGCAGTAGACATTGCTTACCTAGATTTCCATAAGGCTTTTGACACTGTTGCTCATAGAAGGCTTATCAATCTATTGCAATCTTTAAGTTTGGATTCCAATATTGTTGAATGGGTAAGGCAGTGGCTGGGTGACAGGCAACAGAGGGTGGTAATCAATGGAGTATATTCGAAGCTTGGGTTTTTCACCAGTGGGGTACCCCAGGGATCTGTACTTTGACCCATTCTCTTTAATATTTTTATCAGTGATATCAGGACTTGATGGTAAGGTATGTCTTTTTGCTGATGATAGTAAGATATATAACAGGGTTGATGTTACAGAAGGGATAAGCCAAATGGCAAATGATTTAGGTAAAGTAGAAAAATGGTCAGAGTTGTGGCAACTGACATTTAATGTGAATAAGTGCAAGATAATGCATCTTGGACATAAACCCCAAGGGCAGACAACATCTGAAGAAAGGGATTTAGGGGTGATTATTTCTGATGACTTAAAGGTAGGCAGACAATGTAATAGAGCAGCAGGGAATGCTAGCAGAATGCTTGGTTGTATAGGGAGAGGTATTAGCAGTAGAAAGAGGGAAGTGCTCATGCCATTATATAGAACACTGGAGTATTGTATGCTGGAGTATTGTACGCAGTACTGGAGACCGTATCTTCAGAAGGATATTGATACTTTAGAGAGAGTTCAGAGAAGGGCTACTAAATGGGTTCATGGATTGCAGGATAAAACTTACCAGGAAAGGTTAAAGGATCTTAACATGTATAGCTTGGAGGAAAGACGAGACAGGCGGGATATGATAGAAACATTTAAATACATAAAGGGAATCAACACACTAAAGGAGGAGAGTGTATTTAGAAGAAGAAAAACTACAACAATAAGAGGACATAGTCTTAAATTAGAGGGGCAAAGGTTTAAAAATTATATCAGGAAGTATTACTTTACTATGAGGGTAGTGGATGCATGGAATAGCCTTCCAGCTGAAGTGGTAGAGGTTAACACAGTAAAGGAGTTTAAGCATGCGTGGGATAGGCATAAGGCTATCCTAACTATGAGATAAGGCCAGGGACTAATGAAAGTATTTAGAAAATTGGGCAGACTTGATGGGCCGAATGGTTCTTATCTGCAGTCACATTCTATTAGTGGGGTGGGCTTTTAAGAGCAGTAAGAATTATTGCGTGTTTGAAGTGATAGGTTAATGGTTGTAGTGATACAAAATGGCAGGCCTGCTCCATATCATAACATGTATATAACCAACTTGACCCATGAGAGGCCTGAATGGTAGGACTATTAATTAAAGATGATAATAATGAGACATTGCTTAACCTAGTATCACTGATAACAACACACGTATATGTCCTAACATGGTGGTCGTAGTAGGTTGCCCACTGAGGGCTATATGAAGCATATGTTTTGGAAGGCAAAGTGGTCGTCTAATATAAACTTATTTGTGTGATGTCCTGTATCTCTCATGGGGCTTAATAATTTCACCTTACATTAAGCCTGACCACCCTATACATTACTGAGCATTATACATAGAGCTGAGGGTGGGCTCTAAAGTCTGTAAGTTACTTGCACACTTAATTGGAGCCATTGTCTACAATCTGAATTTAGATTGTGCATATATGCATTATTTTAATTTTTTTGTTGCATGAAAAGTTATTCATTTTTCCACATGTATGTTTGTACTATTAGTAGTGATAGACAGTGAAATTAGACAGAATATTTGCATTACTAGTGAAATTTGCCATGTACCTGAATGAGGGTTGAATACGGACTGAATTGCGAATGCCACCATAGTAAGTGAAAGGCTGAATGTGGGCCTTGTTGAATGTCAATGGTAGCACGGCCCAGTGAGTGCCAAAACAAGCAAACTTACTGTTTTGCTGTAAAAAAAACATGTGAACAGCAACAGGAAAAACCATGACTGGGATGGACACGGTGCCCCACAAGATTCGAGAGAGGCAGATGTTTTTTACTTGAACGAGGTCAAATGAATACTCGCATAGGCTGCATGAGGCCAAGTACAGCTTGTTTGGAGTTTAGGTAGTTTGTGTTGGCAGCCTTTGAACTGGAAGTAGACAGATCTGTACTGAACTAGGCCGAGAGGAATGAGAGTCCTGTGTATTTAGAGCCAGGTAACCCCTTCCACAACTTCAGGCTTCGCCTACAGGCTCAGCCTTCCTAAATATAAATGATTTAACTATAGCATTTAACGACATAGAAACCAAATCTATTCACCGCCGTATTGTAATGCTGGAGGCTTGTTTTTACCTAACAGCTTTAACTTCAGGGATAATCCTTTGGCAATTTTTTTTCCAACCAAGCTTTGAAATATTTTGTATTACCTTTTATAATAAAAATGGTGGGATTTAATAAACAAATGATAAATGCATCCATGCACTTCTAAATAAATATACCTAAACTATTAAATAAATATTGGTTTAAGTATGAATATGGGCTCTTTCAAAATATTCTAATTCACAATAGGACTTCCTAAGATTAATTTGCTGAGTTAATAACTGTATTCTAAAATTCAAGTTAAAAGGAGTTACCGCTGCTGGGTTGGAGAACTCCTCCAAATGTTCACTTTTGCCTAAATTTAGTAATTCTGTATCTTCAAATTAATACCAATACCTTGTTTAGAGAATAGAGCTCACTAATTTTAAACAAATTGACCATTTCATTTTACATTACACATTGATTCATATTTGTACAAGCAACAATCAAATAAAACAGCGATACGGTACCTTTCTATTTGAATTCATTAGATACCTTAAAATATAATTAGCAGCTTTGCCATGAATAGCAGCAATAGCAGCAGTCTTAAAATAACTAAAGTCTTGGTGTGAGAGTTCCCAGATGCCTAAATAGGCTTTTACTTTCTAGCTAGCTTGGAGTACCCGTATATATATTGCTCACCTAGATTTCAGTAAGGCTTTTGACACTGTTGCACATAGAAGGCTTATCAATAAACAGCAATCTTTAAGTTTAAATACATAAATTGAATAATTTAAATACATAAAGGGAATCAACACAACACAAACATGGCCATCGGGCATACCGGGCAAATGGCCGTGGGCTGAGGCCGGCAGGGGAGATTACAGAATCTCCCCTGCCAGCCCCTGCAGGGTCAGCTCTACCCAAGCGCCGGCCCTGCTGTGTGCCTCCATGGGCCGGTTACAGTTACAGGCGGCCGCCAGCTGGGGAGGGAGGCAGGAGAGGACCCGATGGAGCTCTAGCCAGCAGCTCCGCTGGGTCCTCTCGCGGGATTCTGAGCGTTG